GTTTTTGGGGTTTTTGGGGTGTTTTTAGGGGGTTTCTGGGGTTTTTGGTGTGTTTTGGGGGTATTTTGGGGTTTTATTAGGGTGTTTTAGGGTGTTTTATGGTGTTTTAGGGTGTTTTTGGGTGTTTTAGGGTGTTATAGGGTGTTTTAGGGTGTTTTTGGGTGTTATAGGGTGTTTTGGGGGTGTTTTTAGGGTGTTTTGGGGGTGTTTTTGGGGTGTTTTAGGGGTGTTTTAGGGTGTTTTGGGGGTGTTTTGGGGTGTTTTTGGGTGTTTTGGGGGTGTTTTGGGGTGTTTTAGGGTGTTTTTGGGGTGTTTCGGGGTGTTTTAGGGTGTTTTGGGGTGTTTTGGGGGTGTTTTGGGGTGTTTTGGGTGGCGGCACTCACGCTGGGGGAGGTGCGGGGCCGCTTTGATGCCCTCGGGGTGGCCCTTGGGGGGCTCCTGGCGCAGGGGGGGGCTGAAGGTCTCGGTTCGGATCACGGGCGAGTGCAGCTTCTCCTCCTTCCCCCCCCCCAGCGGCTGCGACTGCACCACCGAGGCCGCTCGCAATTCCTGCGGAAACTCGGGATCAGGATCCGTCCCAAAATCCCAGCCCCACTCCTGATCCTGATCCTGACACCGCTCGCAATTCCTGCCGTGGAAATCCGGGATCAGCTTCGGCCCCAAAGCCCCAGCCCCACTCCTGACCCCGATCCCGAGGCCGCTCGCAATTCCTGCTGTGGAAATTCGGGATCAGGATCCGTCCCCAGATCCCAGCCCCGATCCTGATCCAGAGGCTGCTTCCAGTTCCTGTGGAAATTCGGGATCAGGTTTGGCCCCAAAATCCCGACCCCGATCCTGATCCTGATCGCAATTCCTGCCGTGGAAATCCGGGATCAGGATCCGTCCCCAAATCCCAGCCCTAATCCTGATCCTGATCCCAATCCTGACCCTGATCCCAATCCTGACCCTGACATCATCCACAATTCCTGCGGGAATTTGGGATCAGGATCCGTCCCCAAATCCCAGCCCCAATCCTGATCCTGATCCCGAGGCTGCTTCCAGTTCCTGCGGGAATTTGGGATCAGGTTTGGCCCCAAATCCCGACCCCGATCCTGACCCCGATCCTGACCCCGATCCTGACCCTGCTCACAATTCCTGTGGGAATTCGGGATCGGGACCCGCCCCAAATCCCGGCCCCGATCCTGGCGCTCATCCCCTGGGACAGATCCCAGCTCCGGATCCACCTGGAGACCCCGACCTTCCTCTTCCTCCTCTTCGTCCTCCCTGATCCCCAAAACCCCAAATCCCATCTTTTCGTCTGATCCTAAAATCCCTGAAATCCCTGAAATCCTGGTTTTTACCTGATCCCAAACTCCCCAAAATCCCATTTTTCACCTGATCACAAAACCCTGAAATCTGGGATTTTTCACCTAATCCCCAAACTCCGATTTTTTCACTTGATCACAAACATCCCAAATCCTGTTTTTTCACCTGATCCCGAATTCCCGAGTTTTCTTTCACCTGATCCCGCATTCCCGAGTTTTCACTGATCCCGAACTCCCCGAATTCCCGAGTTTTCACCTGTTTTTTTGGCTGGATGTTTTGCTGAGGGGGCGACTGAGGCACGAGGCCCTGGAACGGCGGCATCTGTGGGGAAGGCATCATGAGAGGGGAAGGGGCTTCCCGCAGGTGACCTGCAACAGGTGGGCACCGGTCAGTCAGCGTCGTCACCGCGGCACCGCCGCCCCTGCCCGCCGCGGCCCCGGAAACCCCGGGGGGAACTCCAGAAAAACCCCGGGGGGAACTCCAGAAGAACCCTGGGATGGTCTCCAAGAGAACCCCGGGGGGAACTCCAGAAAAACCCCGGGGGGAACTCCAGAAGAACCCTGGGATGGTCTCCAAGAGAACCCCGGGATGGTCTCCAGAAGAACCATCCAGAGGAACCTCATGATGGTCTCCAAAAGAGCCCTGGGATGGCCCCAAAGATGATCTCCAGAAGAACCTCAAGATGGTCTCCAGAAAAAACCCTAGGATGGTCTCCAAGAGAACCCTGGGATGGTCTCCGTAAGAACCTTGGGATGGTCTCCAGAAGAAGCCCAAGATGGTCTCCAGAAGAACCCTGGGATGGTCTCCAAGAGAACCCTGAGATGGACCCCAAAAGAACCCTGGGATGGTCTCCAGAGGAACCCTGGGATGGTCTCCAAGAGAACCCTGGGATGGCCCCAAAGATGATCTCCAAAAGAACCCTGGAATGGTCTCCAGAAGAACCTCAAGATGGACTCCAGAAGAACCCTGGGATGGACTCCAGAAGAACCCTGAGGTGGTCTCCAAAAGAACCTCAGGATGGCCCCAAAGATGATCTCCAGAAGAACGCTGGGATGGTCTCCAAAGGAACCTCAATATGACCTCCAGAAGAACCCCAAGGTGGCCTCCAGAAGAACCTCAGGACGGCCCCAAAAAACCCCAAGATGACCTCCAGAAGAACGCTGTGATGGCCTCCAGAAGAACGCTGTGATGGCCTCCAGAAGAAGCCCAAGATGTCCCCAAGGGATCCTGAGATGGCCCCAAAGAAGCCAAAGGTGGTCCCAAGGGACCCCGGGATGTCCCCAAGGGACTTCAAGCAGCTCCTGTGGCACTGGGATGTCCCCAGGAGATCCCAAAATGACCTCAAAGAGCCCTGGGATGTCCCCGAGGGACCCCGAGGACCCTGCCCAGCCCTGGGACACTCCTGAGATCCTGAACACCTCAAAATCCTCACGGCCTGGAGATCTTTGATGTCCTCAACAAAACCTGAGGCCCTCGAGGTCGTAGGGAACTGGAGATCCTCGAGATCCTCCAGAGCTTTCAGAACTGAGGATCCCCAAAAGCTGGAGATCCCCAAAAGCTGGAGATCCCCAAAAGCTGGAGATCCCCAAAAGCTGGAGATCCTTGAGATCCTCCAGACCTTTCTGAACTGAGGATCCCCAAAAGCTGGAGATCCTCAAGAACCCAAGAGCCCCAAAACCTGGAGATCCTCGAGATCTCAAAGGTCTTGAGATGCCCAAAACCCGATTATCCTGGAAAACTGGAGATCCTCGAGATCCTCCATTACTCAAGAGCCCCAAAACCTGGAGACCCTCAACACCTGGAGACCCTCAACAGCTGGAGACCCTCAACAACCTCAAATTCCCAGAGATCCCTGATGGGCCGAGCCCTTCCTGAGCGATTCGACCCCACCCTTCCCAATTTCTCCATCCATCCATGAATTCCGTCCACGAATTCCATCCATCCATGAATTCCACCCCTCCATCCGTGAATTCCATCCATCCACGGATTCCATCCACGGGTTCCATCCATCCACAGATTCCACCCCCAGGTCCCACCCCCCCGTCCGCTGTCCGTGCTGGCTCCGGCAGCTCACCGGTGCCGTAGGGGTCTGGCTTGTGGTGCCGCGGTGACGGGTGGTGCTGGATGACCTGCTGCGCCTTGGCCGGCGCCGGCTGCGGCTGCGGCTGCGGCTGCGCCGGCTGCGGCGGCTGCGGGGGCGGCGGCTGCGGCGGCGCCGGCGGCTGCGCCAGGTGCGTCGGGAAGGGCAGGGGCTGCAGGTGCAGCGGGCGCGGCGGCGGCTGCAGCGGCTGCACCGCGGGATGCGCCGGCGGCGGCGGCAGCGCCGGGGGAGGCGGCGGCGGCTGCGGCTGCGGCGCCGGCTGCGACTGGACCTTCACTGAAGGGAGAAGCGGAGTCTGCGGCTGCACTTTCTGCAGCTGCTGCAGGTACAGCTGCATCTGGCTGGTGCTCAGGGGGAGGTTGTGGTGCGGCGGCGGCGGCACCGGCGGCGGCACCGGCGGCGGCACCGGCGGCGGCACCGGCGGCTCCTCGTCCTCCAGCAGCACCTGCGGCGGCTGCGGCAGCGGCGGCTGCGGGAGCAGCGGCTGCGGCGGCGGCTGCGGCGGCTTCGGGGGCAGCGCCGCCGCGCGGTTGCTGGGCCTCGAGGGCTGCTGAGGCAGAGCGTTGTGCAAAGCTGCGGGACACGGACACGGCCGGGGTCACCGGCAGCTCCCGGGGGCCGCTCCGTCCCCTCCGACCCCGCCCGGCACCGGCCTCGCCCTCCCGGATCCTGGGACGTCCCAACCAGACCGTGCTGGAATCCCAGTTTTTTACCCCTTCCCAAACCCAAACCCCATTTTCTGACCCATTCCCAAACCCAAATCCCGTTCCCCACCTGCTCCCAAACTGAAATCCCATTTTTTTACCCATTCCCAAACCCAAATCCCAGTTTTTTTGACCCGTTCCCAAACCCAAACCCCATTTCCCACCCGTTCCCAAACTCAAACCCGTTTTTTTACCTGTTCCCAAACCCAAATCTCATTCCCAAACCCAAATCCCAGTTTTTTTGACCCGTTCCCAAACCCAAACCCCGTTCCCCGCTCACCTGGAGGAGACACCACGTGCTGGTTGAGGTGGGGAGGGGTTCCGTGCTCGGCGGCGGGCGCCAGGTGCGCCGGGGCCAGCTCGGCCTGGGGCAGGTGCAGGATGGGCTGCCCGAAATGGGCCATGGTGTCGAACATGGTGCCCGGCAGGGGATGCTCCAGCACCGGCACCGGCGCGGGGACGAAGGGCGGCGGCGGCGACGCCTTGAGGGGCGCGGCGGGCTGCGGGACGGGCGGCGGCGGCGGCTGCAGCGCCGGCGGGACGGGCTGGGGCGGCGCCGGAGGGGGCTGCGGCGGCGCCGGCGCCGCTTGGTGATGGTGGTGGTGGTGCTGGGGGGAGAGGAGGCAGGAATTGGGGTTTGGGGGTGGGAATGGGGTCTTGGGGGGCATCAGAATGTGCTGGTGGGCCACCAAAGTGGGGTTTTGGGCATTAAAAATGGGGTTTTGGGCATTAAAAATGGGTTTTGGTCGCCCCAATGACCTCTTGGGTCACCAAAATGGGATTTTGGTCACTAAAATTGGGTTTTGGGGATTAAAACGGGGTTTTGGGCACTAAAATGACTTTTTGGGTCACCAAAACGAGGTTTTGGTCACCCCAATGACCCCTTGTGTCACCAAAATGGGGTTTTAGATACCAAAACGACCTCCTGGGTCACCCCAATGACCTCCTGGGTCATCCCAGTGTGCTTTTGGCCACCAAAGCGACCTCCAGGGCCATCAGAATGGCTTTGAGTCACCAAAAACATCTCCGAGATCATCAAAACGTTCTCCTGAGCCACCAAAACGCTCTTCTGGGTCACCAAAAAATGGCTTTTTTGTCACTGGAGTGACCGATCCAACCCCAATCCATGATTCCAATCCCAACCCAAATTAACGGATCCAATCCCAACCCAAATCCATGAATTCTATCCAAAGCCAATCCATGGATCCAATCCCAACCCAAATTAACGGATCCAATCCCAACTCCAATTAATGGATCCAATCCCAACCCAAATCCATGGATCCGATCCCAACTCCAATCAATGGATCCAATCCCACTCCAATTAATGGATCCAATCCCAACCCAAATTAACGGATCCAATCCCACTCCAATTAATGGATCCAATCCCAACCCAAATTAACGGATCCAATCCCACTCCAATTAATGGATCCAATCCCAACCCAAATCCATGGATCCAATCCCAACCCAAATCCATGAATTCCATCCCAATCCAATCCATGGATCCAATGCCACTCCCAATTAATGGATCCAATCCCAAACCAATCTGTGGATCCCATCCCAACCCGTGGTTCCCGCCCAAATCCCAATCCCATTCCTACCTTTTTCTGCTCCCGCCCCGAGTGCCCTTTCTTCTTCAATTTTGGCGCCATTTCTGCCAAAAAAAACAAACAGGAAGAAAGAAAGAAGAATTATTTTGGGAAGGGCTCTGGAAAAACCCGACCGGGAACGGGGCTGGAATTCCCCAGGGGTGGGGCTGGAATTCCCCAGGGATTTCCGGGATTGGGAATCGGGGATTTTGTCGCCAAAAAAAAAAAAAACCGAGGGAGAATTGTCGGGAAAGGATCCAAGAGCCAAGGAAGTGCCGGGATTCAGGACGGGGTTTCCCGGGAATGTCGCTGCTCCAGAGGCAGAACCTCGGCGCGATCCATCGCCGGTGCCGGATCCCAGCGGGAATCGCGTTCCCGGGAGGAGATTCCAAGGATTTCAACCCAAATTCCACCGCCGGCTGTCGGTCCCGGTCGGAACGGCGTTCCCGCAAGGGTTATCCCGGATTTTGGGAGATCCCAGAACTTCATCCCCGTTTTCGGTGTCCCAGGTGGGAGATCCAGAGGGATCGTCCCGGATTCCGGAGAGCCCAACCCTCATCGCCGGCGTCGGATCCCGGTCGGAATCGCGGTCCCAGGAGATTCCAAGGATTCCGGCCCCAAGATGATCCCGAATTCCGCTGCCAGCTGTCGGAATCCGGACGTTCGCGTGGAGATTCCAAGGATTTCAAGCCAAGGACGATCCCAAATTCCTCCTCCGGTGCTCAACGCCAGTCGGAATCGCGTCCCCAGAAGGATCATCCCAGATTCTGGAGATCCCGAGGATGATCCCGACCTTCGTTCCCAGCTCTTGGCTCCCGGTCGGAATCGCGAGGTCCAGAAGGAAATTCCAGGCATTTCCCAGCCAAGGACGATCCCGAATTCCATCACCGGCTCCTGGATCCCAGTCGGAACGGCGTTCCCAGAAGGATCATCCCAAATTCCGCACATCCCAAGCCCTGGATGAAGCTCCGGCCCCGGATCCACGGGGATAAAATCCGGGATTCACGGAAAAGTCACTTCCAGGTGTTTTTTTAGGGAAAAAAGCTCAAATCCAGCGTGGCCGCGTGGCTTTCTGGGATTTTTCCCAAACTTTCCCCGAAATCCTGATTTTATTCCCACCCAAAGAGCGAAACGGATCCGAATTCCCACGTCCCGGGGTAAAATTCCATGGAAAAAAGTGGAATTTTGGAGTCCTTTTATGGCTTTTATTATTTCAAAGCATCCAAAGATCCCAAATCCACCCGGTGCCGTAAAATAAAAAGGGATTTCTCCCTAAAATCCCATTTTCCCCATGTTTTTAACCCGTAAAACCCTATTCCCTCCATCTTTATAGCCAAAAAAATCCCATTTTCCCCATAAAATCACATTTCCTCCATCGTTTCTCTGTAAAACCCCATTCCCTCCATCTTTATAGCCAAAAAATCCCAGCTGCTCCATCCTTCTCCTCCATGAAATCCCATTTTTACAACAACATCCCATTTCCTCCAGCTTTTAATCCAGAAAATCCCTTTTTTTTGTCCCTTCCTATCTCCTTTTTCTCCATAAATTCCTCTTTCCTCCACGAAAATCACATTTTCTCCACCAAATCCCATCCCCTCACAACATTCCCGACGCTTCCATCGAGGCACAAATCCCGTTTTCCCAAAAAAACAACCCCCGACCAACCCCATCCAACCAAAACCTCCCCCGGCGCTCGCTCCACGGAACAGAGAAACGGGGAAAAAATTCCAATAAAAATCACGGGATGGGGTCAGGGAATTGCAGAGGTTCCCCCAAAGAAGAATGGACGGCGGAGGCAGGAATGAAATCGAGTTTATTTGTCCGGAGAAGGTCGGGAAAGGCGGGAAGCGCTAACCTGAGTCCGACTCGTCGCTGTCGGAGGAGCTCGACTCGCTGCTGGATTCCGACTCCGACGAGGAGAAGCCCTTGAGCTTGGAGGAGCCGGCCAGGACGTCGAGCTTCTCTGCCGGGAAAAGCGGGAGCGTCACCGCGGGGCGGCAACGGCCACGGACGGACGCAACGCAACGGGGTCGGCCTCAACTCGACCCCAACGCCTCAACTGGGTCATCTGGGTCATCCCCAACTCAACTGGGTCATCCCCAACTCAACTGGGTCATCCCAAACCCAACTGGGTCATCCCCAACTCAACTGGGTCATCTGGGTCATCCCCAACTCAACTGGGTCATCCCCAACTCAACTGGGTCATCCCCAACTCAACTGGGTCATCTTAAACCCAACTGGGTCATCTTAAACCCAACTGGGTCATCTTAAAGTCAACTTGGTTATCCTAAACCCAACTGGGTCATCTTAAACTCAACTTGGTTATCCTAAACCCAACTGGGTCATCCCCAACTCAACTGGGTCATCCCAAACCCAACTGGGTCATCCCAAACCCAACTGGATCATCCCAAACCCAACTGGGTCATCCCAAACCCAACTGGGTCATCTTAAACCCAACTGGGTCATCCTAAACCCAACTGGGTCATCCCAAACCCAACTGGGTCATCCCAAACCCAACTGGGTCATCCCAACTGGTTTGTCGCAGACCCGCGTTTAATAATTCAAAACATTGGAAGTTTAAATTAAAATCATTAATTATTACAAGTGAAAGGGGAACAGCAGTGGCCGCCATCTTGAATCTGCCGCCATCTTGGCCAGGCGAGAAAAAAACCCAAAACCCTCCAAAACCTCCCCAAAAACCCAACCCCGGGGAACAACCGGGAAAATCCGGCCGAGAACCCCCAAATTCCCGGCCTTGGGAAGTACCTGGGGGTTTCCTCTTCTTGCGCAGGCAGGAAGTGACGTAACGCTCGAGCTCGCGCAGCGTCGACGGCTTCAGCGTCTCGAAGTCGATCTCGATCTCGTCGGGGTTGGAGTTCTTGAGCGACGGCTCCCGGGACTGGATGATGTGCACGACCCTGCCCAGCTTCTCCCCGGGCAGTTTGTTGATGTCCAGGCTCAGCTGCCGCTTCTCCTCGTACGACATCGGCTTGCACTTCTCCTCCTCCTCCGACTCGTAGGCGGGCGCGGCTTTGCTGGGCTTCACCGGCGCCGCCGGCTCCTTCTTGCTGCTCACAGCACCGGGAAATGGTGTTTTAGATTTAAACCTGGCCTAAATCTCACCCTAAACCCAGCCCAAACCCAGCCCAAACCCACAGGAGCCGCAGAGCTTCACCACCAGCTCCTTCTCACTGCTCACAGAACCAGGAAATGGCGTTTCAGAGCTAAACCTGACCCTAAACCTGACCCCAGCCCACCCTAAACCCGGCCTGAACCCACAGAGCCGCAGGAAGTTCAGTTTTTATCCTAAAAATGAGAGGCTTTGTTGGTTGTGCCTTTGGGGTGGAGCTCAGCTGGGAGCTGGGGTTCAAAGCTGAGCTTGGAACGTCTGGTGACGCCACGTGGAGCTCAGGATGGTCCAAACTCAGCTCAAACTGCTCCTGGACACCCCAAACTTGGCTCAAACTGCTCCTGGACACCCCAAACTGAGCTCAAACTGCCCCTGGACACCCCAAACTGAGCTCAAACTGCTCCTGGACACCCCAAACTGAGCTCAAACTGCTCCTGGACACCCCAAACTGAGCTCAAACTGCTCCTGGACACCCCAAACTGAGCTCGAACTGCTCCTGGACACCCCAAACTGAGCTCAAACTGCTCCTGGACACCCCAAACTCGGCTTAAACTGCTCCTGAGAACCCAAACCTGAGCTTCATCTGCTCTCGGACAGCCAAAGCTCATTAACAGCCCGATTAATTAACACCAACCATTAATGAGCGAAGGGGAAAGGCGCAGGCTGCCCCAGGGAAGGGGGAAGGGCCCACCTGGAGGCGCTGCTGTTGCTGTTGCTCTTCTTGGCCTTCTTGGGCGGCGGCTCCTTGGCTTTGCTCTTCTTGGCGTCCTCCAGCTCCTCCTTCTTTTTGTGCTTCTCCTTCTTCTTCTCCTTCTTGTCCTTCTCCTTCTTCTTTGGTTTGTTCTGCTGGGGCTGGGACAGCGCCGCCAGCTGCTCGTGCACGGCCTTGAGCTGCGGGAACGGCAACGCTGGCACCGGCAACGCCGACGGCTTCTCCGCCCTGGGCTGAGCCCAACCTGGGCTGAGCCCAACCTGGGCTGAGACTGCCCTGGGCTGAGACTGCCCTGCTGAATCCCAACAAATGGCTGATCCCACCTGGTCATTGTCACCTCCAGCCCTGCCGTGGGCACCTCTGGGGTCACCAAACCCAACCCACAACTGACCTCACCTGGCCATTGTCACCTCCAGAGACACCAAACCCAACCTGGGCTGATCCCACCTGGTCACTGTCACCTCTGGGGCCACCAAACCCAACCCACAACTGACCACACCTGGCCATTGTCACCTCCAGAGACACCAAACCCAACCTGGGCTGATCCCACCTGGCCATTGTCACCTCTGGGGTCACCAAACCCAACCATGGCTGACCTCACCTGGTCACTGTCACCTCCAGAGACACCAAACCCAACCTGGGCTGATCCCACCTGGTCACTGAGTTTTGGGTCAACCAACCCAACAATTTTGGGTCAACCAAGTCAATAATTTTCGGGTAAAACTCGACAATTTTAGGTCAATAAACCAAAAGATTTCCAGTCAACCCGAGCACCTTGGGCCAACAAAACCCAACAACTCCAGCTCAACAAACCCAAAGAACTGGGGTGGACAAACCCAACCATTTTCAGTAAAATCCCAACAATTTGGGGTGGACAAACCCAACTATTCTGGATCAATAAATCAGGGATTTCAGGGTGACAAACCCAGCTGTTTTCACTTAAATCCAACGATTTTAGGGTGACAAACCCAGCTGTTTCCAATTAAATCCAACGATTTGTGGTGGTCAAACCCAGCTGTTTTCAATTAAATCCAACGATTTTGGGTGACAAACCCAACCATTTTCAGTTAAATCCAATGTTTTCAGGCTGACAAAAGCAGCTGTTTTCAATTAAATCCCAATTTCAGAGTAACAAACCCAGCTGCTTCCAATTAAACCCCAACGATTTCAGGCTGACAAATCCAGACACTTCCAGTTAAATCCCAATTTTAGAGTGACAAACCCAGCTGCTTCCAATTAAATCCCAACGATTTGGGGTGGACAAACCCAACTATTCTGGATCAATAAACTCTGGGATTTCAGGCTGACAAACCCGACCATTTCCAGCTGAATCCCAACAATCTCACAGTGACAAACCCAACCGTTCCCAGTTCAATCCCAACGATTTCAGGGTGACAAATCCAACCATTCCCAGTTAAATCCCATGGATTCTATGATGACAAACCCAACCATTCCCAGTTCAATCCCAACAATCTCACAGTGACAAACCCAACCCATTTCCAGTTAAATCCCAATGATTTCAGGCTGACAAACCCAACCATTTCCAGTTAAACCCCAACAATCTCACAATGACAAACCCAACCCATTTCCAGTTAAATCCCAATGATTTCAGGCTGACAAACCCAACCATTTCCAGTTAAACCCCAACAATCTCACAATGACAAACCCAACCCATTTCCAGTTAAATCCCAATGATTTCAGGCTGACAAACCCAACCATTTCCAGTTAAACCCCAACAATCTCACAATGACAAACCCAACCCATTTCCAGTTAAATCCCAATGATTTCAGGCTGACAAACCCAACCATTTCCAGTTAAACCCCAACAATCTCACAATGACAAACCCAACCCATTTCCAGTTAAATCCCAATGATTTCAGGCTGACAAACCCAACCATTTCCAGTTAAATCCCATGGATTCTATGATGACAAACCCAACCATTCCCAGTTCAATCCCAACAATCTCACAGTGACAAACCCAACCGTTCCCAGTTCGATCCCAACAATCTCACAGTGACAAACCCAACCATTCCCAGTTCAATCCCAACAATCTCACAGTGACAAACCCAACCGTTCCCAGTTCGATCCCAACAATCTCACAGTGACAAACCCATTTCCAGTTAAATCCCATGGATTTCAGGCTGACAAACCCAACCATTTCCAGTTAAAACCCAACAATCTCACAATGACAAACCCAACCCATTTCCAGTTAAATCCCAACGATTTCAGGCTGACAAACCCAACCATTCCCAGTTAAATCCCATGGATTCTATGATGACAAACCCAACCATTCCCAGTTAAATCCCATGGATTTTGTCCCCTCCGGAGGCGACAGCAGCGGGACAACCCCGGTCTCCAACCTGCTCCTGGAGCTCGGCCAGGCGCTGCGCCCGCTCCTCCTCGGAGTCGTCGGAGGAGCTGTCGCTGTCGGAGGAGCTGTCGCTGCTGCTGTCGCTGGACGAGGCCGGGGCCACCTTGGTGGGGGGCGGCACCACCACCGGGGACGAGGCGGGAATCACCGGCTCCTCCGGCTCGTCCGGCATCTTGGCGAAGCGCATCTCGAACACGTCCTGCAACGACACGGCACGGCCCGGGAGTGACGGCGGCGCCGGCGCCGCAGCCGGGGACCCTACGGGGCTGGGGGGGTTCTACACGAGGGGTCAGCGCGTGGGGGTCCTGAAATCCTGGAGCTTCTTGGAATTCTGATCCTCTCCAAGGTGGATCTGGGAGAAAATTCCTGGGGTTTTTGTTTGAAAGATGTGGCTTTCGGCTTCTTGGGATCTTCTGGATCTTCTTGGATCGCCTTCAGGGGGTTTGATGATCTTAGAGGTTCCACCATGGGTTCCCACTGGAGATCCCAACCATCCCCAAGGGGCTCTGGGGGGAGATTCAGAGGATTTGCTCCTTTAAAAGCTGCGTTTTCCAGGTTTTTTGAGTTCTTCTGGATCTTCCTGGATCGTCTTCCCTTGACTCCATGATTCTCCGGGTCTTCTCCAGCCTTAATTCCACCATGGATTCACAGCCCTCTCTCCTCTCCGTCCATTCCAGGGATTTTCACTCCTTTTCCAAGGATTTTCCCTCCTTTCTGAAGGATTTCGACGCCTTTTGGAAGGATTTCCACTCCTCATAAATTCCATCAAAAATCCACCAAAAATTTTCCTGGATTCTCCTAAATTCATCCCAAAACTCAAATAATTCCCTCAGCATCCCCTGGCTGACTTTCCTTCAAATTTCCTGGATTTGCTGCTGCTTTTCCCAGGAGTTTTTTTTTTTCCCAGCTCTGGCACAGCCAGCGCTGATTTTTCCATCTCCAAAATTCCAAGAATTTCTTCCCACGCTTGAAGGATCTTCCCCACCTGGATTTTCCCTCTTTCACGTGGATTTGAGATCAAATTGTTCTAAAAAAAATCCAATTAATTTCTTCGGAAAACGAGGCCAAGGCCAAAAAAATCCAGGAAAAAAAATCAGGATTTCAGAGAACAAACACCTGGAATTCCGGATGCGAGGAGCGCCAGAGAAATATTAAATTAAATCCAGCTTAGAAGACGAAATTTATGAAAACTTGAGGGAAAATGAAAGGGAAATCAAGAAGAAATCGCATAAAAATGGAAAAACGGGAAATAAAACTAAAAAGGAGGGAATTGGGAGGAAGCCGAGCTCGTTTCCTTCGCTGCCACAACACAAACTCCCCTTTTTATATTTTGGTTTTTTTTCCTGGATCATCGTTTTCCCGGGGTTATCCCGAGACTTTTTACATTTTTTTGGGGGGGAGAATCCTGCTGGAAAATCGTGGGAATTGCCGGGAACGCCGGGAATCCTCACCTGCAGCTTGCGGGCCATGGCCACCACCTCGTGGTCGGCGGGGTTGTACTTGTAGCAGTTGGAGAACATCAACCGCACGTCGGCCGCGAATTCCTGAGCGTCCCGGTACTCCCGGCCCTCCAGCTTGGACTGCAACGGGGGAACAGCCAAATCGGGAATTCCGCCGGCATTCCGCCGGGACTCGCCGCCGGGGACGGGGTTTCAGGGGTGTTGTGGTGCAAGGATTGGGGTTTAACCCCATTTCACCTCTCCAGCTGCCCTTCAAACCCCCTGATTTCCCCCAAACCCCCGGATTTCCCCCAAATCCCACTTTTTCCCCTCATCTTGTTCACCTTGATGGTGCTGAGGTCCCTTCAAACTCCCCAAATTCCCCCAAAATCCCCCCAAACCTCCTGATTCCCCCAAATCCCATTTCCCCGCCCACCTTGATGGTGCCGAGGTCCCTTCAAACTCCCCAAATTCCCCCAAATCCCCCTTTTTCCCCTCATCTTGTTCACCTTGATGGCGCTGAGGTCCCTTCAAACTCCCCAAATTCCCCCAAATCCCCCTTTTTCCCCTCATCTTGTTCACCTTGATGGTGCCGAGGTCCCTTCAAACCCCCCAAATCCCCCAATTTCCCCCCCAAACCCCCCAGATCCCCCCCAATTCCCCTCCCCGCCCACCTTGATGGTGCTGAGGTCCTTTCAAACCCCCCAAACCCCCCTGATTCCCCCCCAGATCCCCCCAAATCCCCCCCAATTCCCCTCCCCGCCCACCTCGATGGTGCTGAGGTCCTTCAAACCCCCCAAATTCCCCCAAATCCCCCCCAAACCCCACTCCCCGCCCACCTTGATGGTGCTGAGGTCCATGGGGTGCTTGATGATGTCGCAGTAGTCGTGCAGCCCCAGCGCCTCCACGTCCACGGGTTTGTAGAAGGGCCAGGCGTAGGCGGCGTGCTTCTTGGCGAACATCTCCTTGATGATGCCGCCGCAGTACTTGAGCTGCTCCGAGGCCTTGCTGCCGCGGCTCTCCGCCGAATGCTGCTGCGAGTCCGGGATCTCCTTCTTGGGGGGCTTGACGGGCCGGCCGCTCTCGCGGCGCGGGCCCAGCTTGGTGGCCTTGGGCTCGGCGGGCAGCGAGGAGGAGTCGTGGATGGGGTCCATGGCAGTGGGCGTGGTGGTGTCTGCTTTCCTCTTCACCCCCTTCTTTGTCTGGGAACGGACAGCGGGCTTGGGGCGTGGGGTCGCTCGTGGGGTTCTGCTCTGGGGTCACTCATTGGGGTTCTGCTCTGGGGTCACTCACTGGGGTTCTGCTCTGGGGTCACTTGTGGGGTTCTGCTCTGGGGTCACTCATTGGGGTTCTGCTCTGGGGTCGCTCTTGGGGTTTTTACTCTGGGGTCACTCACTGGGGTTCTGCTCTGGGGTCACTTGTGGGGTTTTTACTCTGGGGTCACTCATTGGGGTCTCTATTTTGGGATTGTTCATTGGGGTTTCTATTCTGGGGTCACTCATTGGAGTTTCTATTTTGGGGTCACTCATTGGGGTTTCTATTCTGGGGTCACTCATTGGGGTTTCTATTTTGGGGTCACTCATTGGGGTTTCTGCTCTGGGGTCACTCATTGATTGGGGTTTCTGCTCTGAGATCGCTTATTGGGTTTTCGTTGGGGTTTCTACTCTGGGGTCGCTGATTGGGATTTCTATTTTGGGGTCACTGGGATTTCTATTTTGGGGTCACTGTTTGGGGTTTCTATTTTGGGGTCACTGATTGGGATTTCTATTTTGGGGTCACTGATTGGGATTTCTATTTTGGGATTGTTTATTATGGTTTCTATGTTGGGATTGTTCACTGGGGTTTCTATTTTGGGGTCTGTCCTGGGTTTTTACTCTGGGGTCACTCTTGGGGTTTCCACTTCTGCATTTCCTACTCCAAACCCCAATCCCCAGCCAGGCTAATTAATCACAGCTAATCAAACTATAATTACCATCATCATCATCGAAAGTTATTAATAATAATAACAGTGATTGTAATAAAACAAAACCCTAACTCCCAATTAGGCTAATTAATCACAGCCAATAAACCCGTAATAACGGCAATATTCACAAAAATTGTAATAACGAGCAGTGATTAATAACAACAGCAATAACCCCTAATCTCGTTAGGCCAGCTAACCACGCCTAACGAAGCCTTAGCAGCAATTAACAATAATAACAACAATAACAACAACAATCAACGATTAATAACAAATCCAACCAACCCCGATCCCGCTAGGGGAGGGAATGGCGGCTCACGAAGCCGCAACGACCGGAAAAATAACCGCGATAACCGTAACAACGATAACCACGGCGACAACGATAATGAATAATGAATAATTAACGAATAACTAATGAATAATTAACGAGCGATTAACGCAGCCGTCCCCCGGCTCTCACCTTGACGGGCTGGGCGGGCGTGGGGATGACGGGCGGGTGCGGCGGCAGCGCGGCGGGCGGGGCGGGCGCGGGCGGCGCCGGGGCGGGCGCGGGCGGCGCCGGCGGCACCGCGGGCACGGCGGGCGGCGCCGGCAGCTCCGAGCCCACGGCGGCGCCGGGAAAGGCCAAGGGCGGAGCCAGGCCCGGAGCCGGCAGCAGCGGCACCGGGGACGAGGCCGGGGCGGCCGCCGGCAGCGCCGAGGAGCCCGGCTTGGAGGGCACTGCCGGGAAGGGAGAGCGCGTCAGCGGGAACGGGAAAGGCGGGAAAAGGACCGGGAAAAGGGCCGGGAATGAGGGGGGGAAAAGAGGGAAAAGGGCTGGGAAAACGGGGGAAATGAGGAAAAAAAAAATGGGAAAAAATAGGGGGAGAAATGGGAAAAATCAGGGAAAAAATGGTGAAAGTAGATGGGAAAATGTAGAAAATAGGGGAGGGGATAGGAGGGAAAATATGGAAATAAAGAGGGAAATGAGGGGAAGATGGACAGGAAAATGTGGGAAATAAAGGGGAGAAATAGGGAAAAAAAAGGGGGAAAATAAGGGAAAAAATAAGCGAAAATTGGGAGGAAAATGGGAGGGAAAAAGAGGAAAAAGAGGAGAAAACCGAGGGAAAATAAAAGGGGAAAAAAGGGGGAAAATTAAAAAAAATTAAGGAAAATACAGGAAAAATAAGAAGAGCAGGGAAAAAATAATAGAAAATCCCGGGAATAGTAAGGAAAAATGTAATTTTGGGAATTTTTGGGGGGATCTCTTTAAGGTTTTTTTTGGTATTTTATAAAACTTTTGGGGATTTTTTGGGGATTGGTTTTTTTTCCCCCCTCAGGATTTCTTTCCAGGAATTTGAGGGGTTTTATTTCCAGATTTTTCATCCAAATTTTTTAAAGAATTTTTAATTTTTCCAGGAATTTTCTCGGGATTTTTTCAGGATTTTTTTCTCCCCCCCAGGACTTTTTCCCAGGAATTTTTCGGGAGGGTGGAGTTTAGGGAATTTGGGATTTTGGGGATTTGGGGAATTTGGGGATTTTGGGAATTTGGGATTTTGGGGAATTTGTGGATTTGGGAATTTGGGGATTTGGGAATTTGGGGAATTTGGGGATTTGGGAATTTGGGGATTTGAGGATTTTGGGGATTTGGGGAATTTGGAATTTGGGGATTTGGGGATTTGGGAATTTGGGGAACTTGGGGATTTGGGAATTTGTGGATTTGGGATTTTGGGGATTTGAGGATTTTGGGGATTTGGGGAATTTGGGGAATTTGGGGATTTGGGAATTTGTGGATTTGGGATTTTGGGGATTTGGGATTTTGGGATCCCCACCTGCCTCCTTGCGGGCGCGGCCCCGGCCCTTGGTCTGGGCGATGACGATTTCCGTCTCCTCCTGCGTCATCTCCGAGATTTTCTGCAGGAAAAGCTTCTCCAGAGCTTCCGCCATCAACACGATGTCGTCCCCTGGCTGCAAAAACGGGGGGAAAAAACGGGAATTAGGGGCTTTCCAACGGCCTGGAGGAGTGGGGGAATTCTGGGATGAATTTGGGGTTTTTTACAGGCTGAGGATGGGAAGAGGGGGAGGATGAAGGGGGGAAGGGGGAAGTTGAAGGAAAATAGGGAAAAATGAAGGGAATGGGAGGGAAGGGGAAAGAAAGGCGGGAAAATGGGGAGAAAAGAGGAAAATTGGGGAAAAAGGGAGGGAAAGGGGGGGGAAAAGGGCAAAAAAATCTGGGAAAAACTAAGAAAATAGGGGGAAAAAGGGGTGAAAAAAGGGAGGGAAAGGGGGGAAAAAAAAGGGGAAAAATATCCAGGAAAAACTAAGGAAAAACAGGGAAAAAAAGGAGGAAAACGGGAGAGGGAAAAGAGGGAGAAAAAGGAGGGGAAATGGGGGAAAAAAAAATGCCTTCAAAATTCCCCTAAAAAGCAAAAAAAAAGGAAAAATTCCACCAATCCCAATGGGAATGAAAGCTGAGCCAGGAACCGTTCCCGGTCATGGAATCCCAGGTTTTTTTCCCCCCAAAATTCCTGGGAATTTTTCCCGTACCTTGTTGTAGATGTAGCAGTTTGTAAACATGGTGTTGAAATCCTGGATACATTCTTGAGCATTCCAGTAATAATTGTTTTCCAAGCGTTTCTTTATTGTTCCCATATCCATCGGAGTTTTAATTATTTTATAATAATCCTGGGGATTAAAAAAAAAAAAATCGGGAATTTGAGGATTTTGAGGATTTGGGGTCTCCTGGTTCGTTCCTGGATTCATCAGCACCGGGATTGCTTCCTAAAGTGGGGATTTTTTATTAAAAAAGGAGGAAATTTCGGGGAATTTCATCCCAAAGGTACCAAAATTTCCCAATTCTGGATAAATTCCTAAGAATTCCAGCCCAAGCACGGGATCATCGCGTTCCGTCACTGGATCAAGTCCAGCTTTGGGTCATCAAATCCAAGCCCGGGATCCAATCCAACCACCGGATCAAATCCAAGCCCTGGATCACCAAATCTGATCACTGGATCCAATCCAACCACTGGATCAAATCCAGCTTTGGATCATCAAATCTGATCACTGGATCCAATCCAACCACTGGATCACCAAATCCAACTTTGGATCATCAAATTTAGCCCTGGATCATCAACTCCAACCACTGGATCACCAAATCTGATCACTGGATCCAATCCACCCACAGGATCAAATCCAGCTTTGGATCATCAAATCCAAGCCCTGGATCCAATCTAGCCACTGGATCACCAAATCTGATCACTGGATCCAATCCACCCACAGGATCAAATCCAGCTTTGGATCATCAAATCCAACCACTGGATCAAGCCCAAGCATTGGACCAACCCTCCTGGATTCCCGGTGATTCCCGGCTGTTCCCCCTTTTCCTGAATTCCCGACGATTCCCGACAATTCCAGGTGATTCCCGGCAGTTCCCGGCTGTTCCCCCTGTCCCCAATTCCCGGTGATTCCCAGCAGTTCCCCCTTTTCCTGAATTCCTGACGATTCCCGACAATTCCCGACGATTCCCGGTGATTCCCGGTGATTCCCGGCTGTTCCCCCGTCCCCAATTCCCGACGATTCCCGGCGATTCCCGGCAGTTCCCAGCTGTTCCCCCCGTCCCCAATTCCCGGCGATTCCCGGCGATTCCCGGCTGTTCCCCCCATCCCCAATTCCCGACGATTCCCGGTGATTCCCGGCTGTTCCCCCCGTCCCCAATTCCCGGTGATTCCCGGCAGTTCCCAGCTGTTCCCCCCGTCCCCAATTCCCGACGATTCCCGACGATTCCCGGCGATTCCTGGCAGTTCCCAGCTGTTCCCCCCGTCCCCAATTCCCGACGATTCCCGACGATTCCCGGTGATTCCCAGCTGTTCCCCCCGTCCCCAATTCCCGGCGATTCCCGGCGATTCCCGGCTGTGTTTCCCGGCGCTCACCGGGAGGTTGAGCTTGACGGCGTCCACGGGCTGCTGGAAGGGCCAGGCGAACTGGTGCTTCCAGAGGGTTTTGAGCACCACCTTCAGCAGGTACTGCAGCTGGTTCGTTTGCCGCTTGGGCTTGTTGGGGTTGGACGTCTCCGGCGGCGGCGGATTGGCGCCGACGCCGGGCGGGGCCTGGCCGGGCGCGGGCGCCGCCGACGCCTGCGCCGAGTCCAGCGCGTCGGGCAGCACGGGCAGGTTCCGCAGGCGCGTGCCGGGGCCGCTGTCGGCCGCCAGCGCGTTCAGCCCGTTGCATTCCTCGCCAGACACCCTGCGGGACAGGATCCAGCCCTTGGCTCCTCCAAAATCCCATTGGATTACCCCAAAATCCCATTTATTCCTCCCAAAATCCCATTGCATTCCTCAAAATCCCGTTGTATTCCCCAAAATCCCATTGTATTCCTCAAAATCCCGTTGCATTCCTCGCCAGACACCCTGCGGGACAGGATCCAGCCCTTGGTTCCTCCAAAATCCCATTGGATTCCCCAAAATCCCATTTATTCCTCCCAAAATCCCATTTATTCCTCCCAAAATCCCATTGTATTCCTCAAAATCCCACTGCATTCCCCCAAAATCCCATTGTATTCCTCAAAATCCTGTTGCATTCCTCGCCAGAGACCCTGCGGGACAGCGGGAGAGCATCCAGACCCTGGCTCCTCCAAAATCCCATTTATTCCTCCCAAAATCCCATTTATTCCTCCCAAAATCCCATTGCATTCCCCCAAAATCCCATTGGATTACCCCAAAATCCCATTTATTCCTCCCAAAATCCCATTTATTCCTCCCAAAATCCCATTTATTCCTCCCAAAATCCCATTGCATTCCCCCAAAATCCCATTGGATTACCCCAAAATCCCGTTTATTCCTTCAGAATCCCATTTATTCCTCCCAAAATCCCATTGCATTCCTCGCCAGAGACCCTGTGGCACAGCAGGACAGGATCCAGCCCTTGGCTCCCCCAAAATCCCATTTGATTATCCCAAAATCCCATTGTATTCCCTCAAAATCCCATTGTATTCCTCTCAAATCCCATTTGATTATCCCAAAATCCCACGGCATTTCTTCAAAATCCCTTTGGTTCCCCTCAAATCCCATTTGATTCCCTCAAAATTCCCTTTAATTGCCTCAAAATCCCCTTTTATTCCCCTCGAATTCCCTTTGATTCCCCCAAAATCCCTTTGATTCCCCAAATCCCATTTTTTTCCCCCAAATCCCATTTTTTCCCTGTGAGTTTGGGAGTTTCCCACCCCCGAGCTCGACCCAGGGTGCTCGGGGAGATCTGGGATGGGAGGGAGAGAATTCCGGAAGAAATCCAGGGAAAAGGGACAAAGAATTCAAGAGGAAGCGAAGGAATTTGGGAAAAGCAGCAGAAATTTGGGGAAAAAAGGAAGAAATTTGGGGTAATGGGAAGGGTTTTGAGGAAGGGGAAGAAATTTGAGGGGAAAAGGAGCAAAAATTGGGGAAAAAGGAGCAGGAATTGGGAATAAGGAGCAGAAATTCAGGGAAAAGGAGCAGAAATTGGGAAAAAGGAGGAACTGGGGAGAAAGAGCAGAAACTTTGGCAGAAGGAGCAGGAATTTGGGAATAAGGAGCAGGAACTGGGAAAAAGGAGCAGGAACTGGGAAAAAGGAGCAGGAACTGGGAAAAAGGAGCAGGAATTGGGAAAAAGGAGCAGGAATTGGGAAAAAGGAACAGGAATTGGGAAAAAGGAGCAGAAATTGGGAAAAAGGAGGAGGAATTCAGGGAAAAGGAGGAGGAATTCAGGGAAAAGGAGCAGGAATTTTGGCAGAAGGAGCAGGAATTAGGGATAAGGAGCAGAAATTCGGGGATAAAGAGCAGGAATTCAGGGAAAAGGAGCAGGAATTAGGGACAAGGAGCAGGAATTCAGGGAAAAGGAGCAGGAATTAGGGACAAGGAGCAGGAATTCAGGGAAAAGGAGCAGGAATTCAGGGAAAAGGAGCAGGAATTCAGGGAAAAGGAGCAGGAATTCAGGGAAAAGGAGCAGGAATTCAGGGAAAAGGAGCAGGAATTGTCAGCAGGGATCCCCGGAGCCCCCCCGTGTTCCCGGTACCTTGTGGGATACATTGCCATGGAATTTCAGCCCGGAAAAGCCGCGGAGTCAGAAGTTGCTTGGCTTGTCCATCTATCCCGGCCCGGCTCCGGGCACGGCCGCCTCCCGACCCCGACTCTGAGGGAATAAAAACCTCGGGAAGAGCGGGAATTCCCCCACAAAACCCGGAGAACCGCCCCGGATTTATCGGCATCCCCAAAAATCCGGAGATTCCTACGGAAAAATGAGGATTTGGCAACAAAATTTGCGTTTTTCCCGGTTTTCCCCCCGTTTTTCCAGCCCCAAATCCACATTCCAAGGAGGGATTTCCGTCTGCTCCGGCTTCAGCCTCGCTTTGGAGGGAAAATCCTGGAATTCCTCCCCCAGGGCCGCAGGAAAAGCCGGAATTTACCTGAATTCCAGGTGCCCCTTCCAGCTGTGGCTCCCTCAGCCTCTGACCTTCATTTTCCAAGCTCCCGTTGGAAAAACCTCTGGAAAAACAACAACAGGAAAAGGGAATTCCCATCAGTTCCTCATTCCAGCCCCAAAATTCCCAATCCTGGCCCCAAAATTCCCAATCCTGGCCCCAAAATTCCCAATCCTGCCCCCAAAATTCCCAATCCAGGCACCAAATCCTCAATTCCAGCTTCAAAATTCCCAATTCCAGCCCCCAACTTGCCGGAAAACCTCCTGGAGCCGCCCCAGAGTTGGGATTTAACCCCGGGAATGACCCCGGGCAATTAAAGTTGGCCCTAATTAACCCTTAATTGCCCTCTTGGGCGGGGCTGCGGCTCCAAATCCGAGCCCGGAATTCCGGAGCCGGAAAAATCCGGGAAAACTTCCCCAAATCCGCCCTCTGGAAGGACCCAAATTCCTGCAGCTCCCCGAGCGATCCCAAATCTCCCCCTGGAATCGCCCAAAGCTCCGACCCCAGAGTTTGGGAGGAGAATTCCCGGTTTTCCTCCGGTTCGGGATCAACTCCGGAAAGAAAACCCCGAACGCTTCGATCCCAGGAAATCCGGGATGGGAATTCCCAGATTTCCCCCAGTTCCAGGTGAAGACAACTCCCAGCGCCGAATTCCCGAAGGAAAATCCCGGAATTCCCAGGGAAAGGGGAGGGAAGGAGGCCAAAAAGGGAAAATTTGGGATCCTTGTCCCAGAATTCCAGCCTCCAAATTCCCGGTTTCCCGAGGTTTTTCCCAAAGCCCAGCAGGAGCCGCAGCAGGGAATTCCCAGGCTGCAATTTTTCCTCCAAACGGATTTTTTGGGAATTTTCCACAGAAATCCCTTTTCCCACGGAATCCCGGGGGTTTTCCAGGGAATTTTCCCAGCAGGATGACTTGGATGGATCGGGATTTTCCCAATCCAGGGGGATTTTTCCTTGGAAAAGCCAGGATCTGGGATGAATCCCGCAGGGAACGGGGAGCTCCGGGCAGGATTCCATCGATTCCATCCCCAAAAATTCCCATCCTTCCCCCCACTTTTTGTGGAGCTCATCCCAAAATCCCATCCCAAACCCGGATTCCCGCCCTTTTTTTTTTTGGGATGAGGATGGATTTTCCTAAACTTTCCCCGCTTTTTTCCCCCCTTTCCCACCCCAGATCCGCCACGTTCCAGAGGAATTTGGGATCTGGGGGATCCTCCGGGATGGAATTCCCCGTTCCCTGCCCGACCCTGGGAACGGAAATCCCGGGAAAAGCGGCTCTGCAGGGACAGAATTCCATGGAAAATCCTCCGGATCCTCCCCAAACCCAGGGAATTCCAATCCCAAAATTCCCAGATTTTCCCTGGTCCCATCCAGGAACGGGAAGGGAATTTTGGGGGATTATTCCCAGAAATCCCTTGGAATGGGAATGAGGGAGGGGCAGGGCTTGGAATTTCCCTCCCTGCTCCCAGAATAACCCAAAAATCGGGATTGAAAGCCCGGAATTCCATGATCAATCCCCGTTTTCCCTGGAATTCCGGGATTTGGGATCACGGCAGGCAGCCTGGAGGAACCCCAGCGATAAAAATCCTGGGAAAATCCCGATTTTCCTCAATTCTGGCCAGGGAATCTCATCCCATGCTCCGCTGGGAATGCAGGGATTCATTCCCAGGCCTGAGGGATCCCAAATTTCCCAAAACTTTGGGAAATTATCCTCAAACGACCCCAAAACTTCGGGAATCGTCCTCAAACTTCGGGACTGACCCTTAAGAAAACCCAAAAATCTGGGAAAGCTCTTTAAATGACCCCAAAATTTGGGAATGACCGTTAAATATCCCAAACTTTGGTAAATGATCCTTAAATAACCCCAAAACCTTGGGAATGATCCTCAAATGACCCCAAATT